TGTTTTAGGTGTAGTTGTTAGTAATTGAGTTTGCTGTCATTGTACTATTCATATTTCTTATCTTCTTTTTTTAGATGAATCCCTTTAACATTTCATATAATAAGGGCTTGGTGATGTTGAACTCCTTTAACTTGACCTTATCTGAGAAGCACTTTATCTGTCCCTCCATTCTACATGAAAGCTTTGCTGGATAGAGCAATCTTGGATGTAGGTCCTTGCCTTTCATGACTTGGAATACTTCTTTACAGCCCCTTCTTGCCTGTAAGGTTTCTTTAGAGAAATCAGCTGACAGTCTGATGGGAACTCCTTTGTAGGTAATCGTCTCCTTGTCTCTCACTGCTTCTAGGATTCTCTCCTTCATTTTTACCTTGGCTAATGTAATTATGATGTGCCTTGGTGTGTTCCTCCTTGGGTCCAACTTCTTTGGGACTCTCTGAGCTTCCTGGACTTCCTGGAAGTCTATTTCCTTTGCCAGATGGGGAAAGTTCTCCTTTATTATGTATTCAAATAACTTTTCCATTTGTTGCTCTTCCTCTTCTCCTACTGGTACCCCTATGATTCGGATGTTGGAATGTTTAAAGATGTCCTGAAGGTTCCTAAGCCTCTCCTCATTTTTCTGAATTCTTGTTTCTTCATTCTTTTCTGGTTGAATGTTTTTTTCTTCCTTCTGGTCCACTCCATTGGTTTGAGTTCCAGTTTCCTTCTCATCACTATTGGTTCCCTGTACATTTTCCTTTATTTCACTTAGCACAGCCTTCCTTTTTTCATCTAATTTGTGACCAAACTCAACCAATTCTGTCAACATCCTGATTACCAGTGTTGAACTGTGCACCTGATAGTTGGCTATCTCTTCATCACTTAGTTGTATTTTTTCTGGCACTTTGATCTGTTTTTTCTTTTGGGCCATTTATTTTTGGTGAGCCTGTTACATAGTGAGGGGCGGAGCCCTAGGTATCCACCAGGGTGGAGCAACCACGTCACTGGGTTGTGACACTGTGTGTGGGGGAGGGGTCCTAAAGGGAATAATGCTGCTTGCTCTGCTCTCTGCCAGATTTCAGTTCTTTCCCCTGCTACCCACAAGCAAATTGGGCCCTTCTGGTGCTGATTCTCATGTGGGTGGGTTTGTGTACATTCTAGGACTCTGTGGGTCTCTCCAACAAACTCTCCTATGAGGCTGTGAGTTTCTCCTGCTGCCTCAATGCCCCCAGGTGTTTTCAGTCAGTGGTTTAAGGCTTTACTTCCCTGCGATGGGACCCTGGGTTGCCCAGTTCGTCTCACTCCCCAGTTGTTTCTCCCAGTTTATCTGCGTGTGAATGTAAGACCACCCAGTCCGCAACCCACCACCTCGCTGGGTCTGCCCGCTGCTGCTTTGCCAGCCAGCTGGAGCCATGCACACCCTGCTCCACAATCTGCTGCCTCACTGGGTCCGCCAGCTGCCGCCTTGCTGCGAGTCCTCTCTGCCCGGCTGCCTGTCTCTGCCCCTCCTACCAGTCTGGATGGATGTTTCTTCTTTAACTCCTTCGTTGTCGGACTTCCATACAGTTCAATTTTCTGTCGGTTTGGTTGTTTTTTGTTTTTAAATGGTTATTGTCCTTCTTTTGGTTGTGCAAGGAGGCACAGTGTGTCTACCTATGCCTCCATCTTGGCCGGAAGTCTCACATGTGACAGTTTTAAAAGGGACAGAACACTACCCTACTTTGAAACATTTCCTGAGTATGAGAAAAACATTGGGGAGAGAGCTCATGAGCAGAGGGCTACAATTAATGTCATAATATGTGGTTGTTATACACTGTCATTGTTTTTTCCTGATGTGTTTCTTTTCCTTTTTTTTAATTGAATTTATTGGGATGATATTGGTTAATAAAATTATATAGGTTTCAAGTGTGTAACTGTATAATACATCTGTATCATCTGTACATTGTACTGTGTGCTCACCACCCTAAGTCAAGTCTCTTTCCATCACCATTTACCTCCTCTTTATATCTTCTACCTCCCCCACCTCCCATCCCTATGGTAATTACCATGCTGTTGTCTGTGTCTGAGTTTTTTTTTTTAACTTAATCCCTTTATCTTTTTTCACCCAGCCCTCAAGCCTCCTCCCCTCTGACAGCTGTCTGTTTCTATCTATCAGTCTGTCTCTATTTTGTTTGATAGCTTATTTTGTTCATTAGATTCCATATGAGTGAAATATTAGGGTACTTGTCTTTCTCTGATTGACTTATTTCACTTAGCATAATGCTCTCCAGGTCCTGAGTAGTACAAAAAGGACAGTAGACTGTCCTTTGGTCTCTAAGGTTTCTTGGTGCCTTAAAATACTTTATTACTTAAGATAATAAAAATGAGGGTAATAGAAACAAATAACTCTTGATTTTGACAAGTACGTATAGGACTGAAGTGAAAATCAACTTATTTTACTGAGAAATAGAAACTAAATATTTAAGTCAGTTGCATTTTCAGTTAAGAACAAGATACAAGAGTCTGTACAATACAAGAGTCTGAATAATGGTTGTTAATGCTGCTGTTGAGTTCTGTTTACATTTACATTGGTGAAATATTATGTTATTAAATATTTTACCACATTTTTTACTTCAAAAATTTTTTCCCTATTTTCCTCCTCTAAAACTGAGGTGTGTCTTATGGCCCGAAAAATACGGGTAACATTTTCTCAGACTCTAGAAGTAATGACTATTCATGACAGGAAAACTGAAAGCAAACAAACAAATAAACAAACAAACCCACAAAAGGAGTAACTACCCAAAGAGAACCAGTATTAAATTTTGTCTATATCTGTCATCAATTTTTGGTCTTAAAGCATAATTGTACTCATAGCAAACTGTATTTGTACAATTGTAGACATAAATAAGATTACTTCTTGCCCTTGTCCTCAGTCTGAATAAAACTAAGTTCTGGTCTGGAGATTTCTCACCCCTGATATAAACTCCTATAAGCTATTGAAGAATAAAGTTATAGGAAACTCCATTATTGCTTAGGAAGGAACTAAATTTATAGTCCTTTGCTCATTCAGTATACATATTTAAGTACCTACTACCTTCAAAGGCACTGGCCAATTGCCCTCAGACACATAGGTGAGCAAGATAGTTGTGGAGAGAACAGCTAGTCAGAAGACTGAGCTAGAAGCAGAACATGACAAAAACCAGGAGTGAAGGGTGGTTAAATGACACACGAAAAGAGGGCTACAAGAGCCTGTCCACAAAACAATTTACCCAAAGACACTTCTATCTCTACCTTGACAGCAGTTGGCATAGGAAAGACTCAAGATCCTAACTTTGTAAGCAGTACAATAGGTCCTTGAATAACTTAATTTCATTCAACATTGTTTTGTTACGATGCTGATGAGGTGCTATAGGAACTTAACTCTTGTGTGTATCAATTATCCTATGGTGAAACTGGTTTCATTATATGTCATTTTTCTTAAAGTCACAGAACCTATTGGCAGCATTAAGTGAGGACTTGCAATATTTTATATCGCACTCATCACACTTTGGTAAGTGTATTAGTTCTTTCACGAAACCTGTTTATTCTACCACGTCTTTCATAAGCCACAAACCTGAATTTTGTAAAGTGTTGCCTACTATATTTTATTACATAAGAATTTGATTTTGATGTATAGATATATTCTTCATTATGTTAAAAGTTAAGTTTAATGGTCTTGTGTTCACATGCTACTTTAGGAAAGCAATGTAAAGCGCTGAGAACAAATACAGTGGGGTGGCTAGTAAGTGCCAGTAGGCGCCAAGGGAATAAACAATACATCCAAATCAGGAGTTACTTTCTTCTATGATTGGCTAATTTTCAGTCTCTTTAGCAGTGGGAATTTCAGAACACCATAAGAAATTTTCTTTAGGGATTCCACAGCCTCACTGGTAGAAGAGAGACATGTAAACATGCTGTCCTGTATCGTGCATGAGCCATATGTTATACAGTGCTAAGGAGCCCAGGAATTGGAGTCACACAGACCTGGAACGAATGGATCCAAGCTAGGTCACTTACTAGGTGCTCAATCTCTGAGGACTTGTGTTTCCTCAAGTACAAAACGGGACAGCTGATACCTAAACTCATAGTGATATGAGAATTAAGTAAGTCATTGTGTATGAAATACTTGTTACCTGACAAAGAATAAAGCCTGAACAATATGTTAGCTGTTAGGTAGGAGAAAGGCAACATGAAAGGCAGAAAAGGGGCAAGAAAGAAACCATTTGACTCAAAAAACCTCTTTTGGCAAAATTTTGTAAGTAGAGATCCACTTATGGATCTCAAGGTATGAAAACTTGATTTGAAGGGTTCTGCTTCTGGTAATGATGAACTAAGAGTTTTGGTTAAATCTGTGTCCCCCTCCCCAAAGTAAATCTGGAGAAAAAATTCTGTTTGAAGGCACTGGACTATTAACAGGGCAGTGAAAAATTAGGGGGCCAGATCTAAAAGGAAATCCAGAGAGAAGTAGCCTAGCATTTGAGATCCTCTTTCCCTTGGAACATCTGCTGATTTTGGAAGAGGGGACTGACAAGTTGAGAAGTTGAACTTTGAGTTGCTAGTATTTTGGAAATAATTTTTGGGTTTATCTTCATAACATATGCTAGTCTACAGTTTTATTTTCTTGTATGTGATTCTCTGGTTTTGGTTTCAAGTTGACACTGGCTTCATCCACAATTTGCTCTTCTTTCCCTGCCCTATTCACTACTGAGCCACAGAGATCATAAAACAGAAATTCACAGTATCTATTCCCACATTCCATGTAAATGCTTACTAGTCATACTTGCCCCTTGGGATAGGTCACATGTCACTACACCTTTGTTTCTGAGGGTAACAACACTTTTCTTGATATGCTGTGAAACTCCAGGTTCAGTCTGAGAGGCAGAGACTGTGTCTAATCCATCTTGGTACCACTAGGTTGAGAGGGCATTCACTAGGTGTTCATCCTAACTTTTTCAAGCTTTGTTCATGTGTTTAACATCTTGGCAAAGGAAACTAAGAAGCCATACCTGGTGGGGTTCCTTTTATCTTCCTCAGATATCAAAAACCAAACAAAATCTGCATAGCTCATTTTTCCATCTCTCTGTACTGTTTTTCCCCTGGGAAAGAAAAACAAGACACATGAAGTTTCCTGAGAACTTACTCATATAAATTCAGTAGAATGACAGACAAAATAAAGTAATATCTCCCTTTGGAAATTAAGTCAAATTTTTTTAAAAACTAGAATGCTGGAACCCTCACAAAGGCAACCCCTTCCATGGTCTACCTTGTTTTTGAAGGTCAAAAGGGTAAAACCAGAAGGAATTTGCAAATAAGTAGAAAACAATCCGGTTTGTAATTTAAATACAAATAATTCCCAGGATCAAATCCTGCTACCTGTATTTAGATAAAGGACTAATGCTCATATATTAAAGAATTACTACTGTTTTGTGTGAAGCCATGACTGTATGTATTGCAGGGTGTTATCTGACCTACAACATTGCTACATTACACAGGAAGCCTTGCTACAGTTTTACTTATAGTTTATTTTTAGATTCAGATGCTTTTTCTTACCTTGTTACTGCCCCAGAGAATATCCTTTCAATAATTCTGTTGGATGAAGCTAAATAAAAGTAAAAAAGTACAAAGCTAGTTAAAAACATGCTCCCATAAAGGCAGTACTTTTGGGAAATTTGTCTTCAGTAGCTACAAGCTAAAACATAAAAATCTTCCATGAGAAAATACTAGTGGTTAAAATATTACTTCTGCATAATTTATGCTTTCTGAAAATAAGAATTTGGGGTGGCTCAGTCAATTATTAATTTTTTAAAAAGAATAAGCTAATGGATGTCCCTGACAGCTGGAATGTATCAATATAGTTGAGCACCAAGTTAGTTCTGGACACCCTGACATCTAAGACAAAAGTGTGTAGAAGTTGAATTGATCTTGTTATCTAGTAAGACAACTCTTCCTTTAAAACAAGACAAATTTTATCCTAGCATTCAATTCAAGGGGGAACTGATCATCAGCTCCTAGTATAAGGGATATTGAATAAAACAATGGAGAATGCTTTCAGGTAGACTTTTACAAAAGATACCAAAACATACCATAAGCATACAACTTTTATATATTCATTCTATAAAAGTCCAGGATATAACATGGTATAATGTATAATTTTTAGAAATTCCATCAGTAAGTTTTATTCAAAGAGAGAGGCAAATATATCTTAAGATACTATGTTGCTTTTGATGATAGATGCTAGCTAATCCGGAGCAGAGATTTTCCACCATTTTCATTTCATGGCACACATGAAAACAAATGACTAAAATTCTGCAGTATACCAAAAACAAATTTTTTTTGCTGATCTAACAAAAAAATAGGTATAAAATAGGTACAATTTTGATTCATTCACACTGGATGGCTATTGTCTTTTTTGGCTGTCGTCATTTTTTATTTGCTAATCTAAAGAAAAAGAGGTCAGGACCCCTGACTAAATAGTTGGGTATTACATGTTTTAAAAATTCTTGCAGCATACCGATTCAAAATCACTGCTCTAGATAGAGTAGGATACCTTATTGTGGGTTCAAAACAACCAAAACCATTAGTTTTTAAAAAAGAAAATGACAATGGATCTCAGACCTAGGGATGTGGTGAGGACAGAAGTCTGTTCTTTTAATAAGTGCCCCAGACAATGGCATGCACCTAAAATTTCAGAACCAATGATAAGGCCTTTTGAGAGTTAGGAGTAATCAGCATCTAATTCTCCTGCATAAAGTCAGGTACCGTCAACATAAAGGTAAGTTAGTTTGGCTGAAGAGTGTGGAGAATATGGGAATCAGTACAGCTATGTCTGCCTACAAATCAAAGCTTCCAGAAGGACCCCCTAGACTTTGTTGAACATTGGCTTATGGGGTTAATAATTTGAACTATATAGAAAAAAAGAGGGCTACATAAAAAAGGCAAGGATATTTAATTCCAAAGCTAAAGTATTTTTGAAAGTCTTTTTTAGATTTGGAAGGTTTAGCATCCCAAAACTGAAGACCATATTGTCCCATTAAGGACAGGTTGGAGGGTGGACAATTATAGAGTTTCAGAGGCCCCTTTGTCATATAGGCCTAGATGCCTGTTTTTCTGGACTTCATCCCTTTAACATGTTTACATGAGCTGTGTGTGTGGATATACTATATTTTGGGACATACTAGGAATTATGCTTATGTCAGCCAGACAGTGCACTTTAGAGCCAAAAGGTTTTTCATGACCTTGGGAGGCTGGCTCACATACAGATGATCTGGCCACTGGTAATCAGAAGGTGCATTGCTAATAAGGCTGACCTGATGAATATCTCCATTTTTATGCTATTTAGGTGACAGGAAGGTTATGCATACTTGAAGAAGAGAGGATGTAGTACTCAAATGCTTATCAAATAAGTATATTTTAGTATTTTCCTTTTCATGTCTGGTTGGCATCTAAGAATTTGAGAGGCAGAACTCTGTTTCTTAAATATGAAAGTTCTATACAACTTGACATCATATAGAATGAACCTTTTCTTAAGATATATACAGATATGCCAAATAGTGGGAGTAAAATTCAATGCATTTATATAAAATTTGTACTCTGCTGCATCTAAAAGGCAAAAGGCTGATTTAAAAAAAACAACAGTGCCTGAGAAGACAATTTCAGAACAGAACAGGGGAAATCTCAGAAGAATGAATCAATGTATCTTGAAGCTTTCTTAAAATATTAAATCAGTAGGTAATAGGTTCTAAGTTGACTACTGGTAAAAATGAAGCAAAAAGGGTATGTAATATATAATATTTTGGTTCTTGACAAATCAAAGTACATAAAATTCATCACCCCAAAACCAAAATCTTTTCTGGAACTAAATTCCAAAAGGTAAGTTTTTATAAGTGTCCTTGAAAATACTGGCCCATCAGAAAAATTATTTTCACCCATGGCTGTGTATAAATATTATAAAATAAGAAATTTATAAAGGTGTATACATATTCTTTTTAAATAAATTTTACACAGGTATGGATCTTATTCAATTCATAATCAGAAAACAAACGTCACTTTACAGACTCTCTAATTCATCAAAACTAAGACTCTAACTGCTTACTTACCTCCAATAAATCCCTTCTCCTACACCTGGCTTCTAAATAAAAAAATGGCATTTTTACTCATTCCCACTTAAAAAGTCTTGACCCTTTAAAGATTACAGAATTTAAGAAATGGGAATTCCCCATAATGAGTGGGGAAAATTTATATAACTATTGCCTTGTTCAAAACATTAAGTCTAAACATCTACAGAAACTCACCCTGGTCATTGTATCTCGATAGATCGGCCTGGCTGATGTAGAGGTCATGATCACTATCTAGTTCCCAGAATTTACAATAAATAACATAAAAATGTTCATAGGAAAAGTAGTCTGTGATTTGGTTTATATCTTCCTCTTCTTCCAAAAGGGCTAGAGTCTGAAATGGTATGAATAAAGAAAATTTATTTTAAAATTATGATAATCCAGGCTTGGTCATTATACAGAATCTAGTAAATTTTTATTTTAAATTGAATTAAAAGTTTTGGTTTTGGTATCAAACCAGGAACTTTAATAGGTAACCACATCCTCCCTTTAATCACCTGATCAATCTATAAACATTTATGAACTCTGTAATATGCTTAGCAAAGGGTTAGATGCTGTGGAGGATTTAACAGCAGGAAAAGGAAAGGACCATCACCAAGGGGGCTGCAGCCTATCAGAGGTCACCGACTAGCAAGCACCCAACAACTAGACAACAGGCTCAGTTACATGGCCATATACTGACACCACTTTTAACTTCAAAGTGATGCTAAGTAATTAACATCATTTAACAAAGTGACTAGGCAGGGTGACCATCTATTCTATTATGAAGAGTGGGGCATCCACAAGTAGGGCTTGTTTTTGTAATGAAATGAAGTTCACCATAAAGGTGACTTATGTATACCATTGTGGTGATGTGTGGTGGCTGGGCACAGAAGCCTGGTGGGGTGGGGGGCAAAGCCTCAGAGCCCTGAGTTGGAAGTAGACCTGGGTCTCCCCTGACTCACTGTGCACCCTTAGGGAAAACAACAGAAATAATGATTTTGAAACCAGAATTCTTCAAATTAGTCAAATTATCATATAAGTGGGCAGATATAGAAGACATTTTTGGAAAAGAAGGATTCAGAAAGAAGAAACCAAAGGAAACTTAGGAAATGAAAAAATAAAATAAAATGACAAATAATATCTGATATATCGATAACAATAAAGATAATGAATTAAATCTCCCTAAAAGATTTTCTGATTGAGTATAAAAACCGAATACCCAAAACAAATCTAGATATAAGCTGTCCAGAAGAGATAAGTCTAAACAAAATTAAAAAGGTTAAAAAAAATGATGTTAAAAAATACACATACTATCTAAATCTTAATAGAAAGAAATGTCAATATTATGGGAATACGAAATGGAATTCAAGGTAAAAAACATTAAGGGACAAAGGTGACTATTTCATAATGCAAATATATTACTTTGATGAAGAATATTTTTTAAATGTTAATACTGAGAAAACAAAATGCTTTGTCAAATTGAAAACAACATAAATTATTAAATTATGGGAATTCTACTCAATGGGAGATTATGTATCCAGTAAAAGTTATAAAGTCTACACAGAAATAAAGGAAAACTATGATGTGGTAAATACAAAATACACAGTACACAATTATACACACTAAGAGCTATATAAAATCCTAAACTCCGTATATGCATATAAATGAGACTAGAAGAACACATACAAAAATGGTATTAGTTGTATTATGGTCATAGAATGTGATTTTTCTTGTTTTCCAAATTTGCTGTAATGTTTTATTTTATAAAATGCTCTTTAATATATAAAAAGCAGAATATGTACAATAAAACAAATGTTGAGAAGCAAGGAGCTCTCATTTTCATAAAGTGAAAAAGATGAATAACTTTTGCTATTGGTGAGTATTTAAATGTAAGTATGAATGAGTACAAGCTTTTAGAAAGGAAAATTGGCAGGATCTATCAAATTGGAAATGCTCATACCATTCGATCCAGCATTTCTCCCCCCTTGCCCCAGTAGTCTATTCTAGAGGAATTCTTACTCATATACACAAGAGGAAAGTACAGGGATGTCCACTACATTACTGTACAGGGAAAACATGAAAATGGCTTGAATATCATCAATAAAACAATCTGTAATTAATCATAAATGGTATAGGCATGTCATAGATTATGCAGTAGTTAAAAGAATGATATAGATTTATTTGAACAGGAATGAAGGAAATGTTAAGACATATTGTTAAATAAAAAACCCCCAAAACAAAACAAAAAAACACCCCAAGTTAACAGAATAGTATAATCACATATATTTAAAAAAACTCAAAAAAGCAGCCATACAAAATAAAACTAAACATTCCATGTGTATACACACACACACAACTATAGGGAGTGAAATGGCAGGGTGAAGAGATAAACAGTGACTTCAGATTATTATTCCAGATATGTTCATGTTATTAGAATATTTTATGAGCATATAGTCATATAAGAGGAAGGCTAAGGAGAGGGGTAGGGGAGAAAGTAGAGGGGAAAATATATTATGCTCTTGGAAGAACAACACTTGAGTTCTCTTTCCAATTCAGCCACTTAACTTGCTGTTTGACCTTGTCTACGTCATTTAACCATACGTGGGCCTCAAATTTTATCATAATTAAAAAAATTATAGATTATAATAATGATCCAGAAACTACAAACTCAAATGTGCTGCAGGAATGTGAGGTGTAAAGCCTCTTCTATGGAATTATTGTCATTTCAACACATCCCATGTTACCTACTGTGAGCCCAGGCATGCACTAAGCATTTAATAAATGTTAATAATAACTGTGATGATTACTGTTCATTTTACAATACACTAAGTTTGTATATCTATTATGGGCTGCTAATTTTGCCAAGTCTTTATTACTTTGTCCCAGACAGAGATAGAAAAAAAAAAGAGTAAATAAGATTGTCTAATGTATTAGCCTAAACTGCATTTAGTATAATTCATTTAAAACATATTTCATGTATTTTCAAGGGTGAACAATTCTACCGTTTTTAGGTTAATAGAAGCTTAAACAATCATGCATGAAGATTACCTCGGTAAAAGGCTCCCACTAGTGGCCAATACTTTCTCATAAAATAAAATAATAGAAGGAAATGTACTCTTTCTTAGAAGGAATTTTTAGTACTTTTCCCCAGCTGGACCTGGATAAAGAGTCGTTGCTAAAAGGATCAACTTGAAATTTTTCTATTTCTTTAGCAAGGTCCTTCCCAACCCAGTCTCATCTCACCCCTCAGGCCTCATCACTGGTCACTCTCTCTGTGGAGCCTTTGGCCACTTAAGACTTCCTGCAGTTCCTGAGCATGATATTGTACTGTCATGCTTCTGGGTCTTTGCTTATGCTGCCTCCTTTTTCTGAATCCTCTTTTCTTCTAATTTTTTTTTTATTTTGGTAAACTCCTGATACCTCCAAGGTCAAGATCCCATATTAGTCCTTCTGTGAAGCCTTCTTTGCATGTTTATTATACACTTCTGTGATCTCTTGCAAGTCAGGCGTGGATGTGCACTTTCCCTTTTGGTCCTCAGTGTGTGCACTGATGTAAAAATCCCTTGTTATTCATCCTTGTTCCCCCCAGCACATCCCAAGTATCTGGTAAATGTTGAATGTCTGAAAGTAGTGACAGAGCTCTGCATACAATAAGAACTCAAATATTATATTTGTTAAATGAAGTAAGAATAGTATTTAAATTGCTCCTGATATGTGAATTCCAATAAGAGGCATACTTGCAAAAAGTTGCTTTTTCTTATCTCTGCCGAAGTAATTTTTCCACTCCAAGATCTGTTCACTGTGTAGAATATTCTCTGAATAACCTGGTTCAAAGGAAAACAAAATGAAATAAAACCATTAAAGATATCAATTACTTTACCAATAACCATCATATCTTATGAATATACTTTGAACCAGGTAAGTTTTGGCTTTTTGATTATGTCGTGTCATTTCTAGTAAAATTAACACTTTTAATTTTTTAAAGACTTTCGATTTTTATTGTTGTTTAAGCAGTTTTCTGCCTTTCCCCCCTCCCCCTCCCCACTACCCCAGGCATCCCCACCTCCCTCCCCCATTTCCACCCTCCCTTGTTATTGTCCTTTATAGTTGTTCCTGTAAACCCTTCCCCCTTGCCCCCATTATTCCCCTCCCACCTCCCCTCTGGTTACTGTCAGCTTGTTCCCAATTTCAATGTGTTTGGTTGTATTTTGCTTGTTTTTTCTTTTGTTGATTCTGTTCCAGTTAAAGATGAGATCATATGGTATTTGTCCCTCACCTCCTGGCTTATTTCATTTAGCATAATGCTCTCCAGTTCCATCCATGCTGTTGCAAAGGGTAGGAGCTCTTCTTTCTCTCTGCTGTGTAGTGTTTCCTTGTATAAATGTACTATAGCTTTTTGATCCATTCATTTACTGGTGGGTACTTGGGTTGCTTCCAGCACTTGGCTATTGTTAAGTGTGCTGCTATGAACATTGTGGTGCATAGGTTCTTTTGGATTGGTGTTTTAGGGTTCTTGGATACTATACCAGCAGTGGAATTGCCTCGTCAAAATGCAGTTCCATTTTTAGTCTTCTGAGGAAATTCCATACTGTTTTCCATAGTGGTTGCACCAGTCTGCAATTGTACCAACAATGCACTAGGGTTCCCTTTTCTCTGCAACCTCTCCAACATTTATTGTTTGTTGCTTTGTTTATGATGGCCATTCTCGCCAGTGTAAAGTGGTATCTCATTGTGGCTTTTTAATTTGCATCTCTCTGATGGCTAGTGATATTGAGCATCTTTTCATATGTCTCTGGACCCTCCGTGTGTCCTCCTTGGAGAAGTGTCTGTTCAAGTCCTTTGCCCATTTTTTAATTGTGTTGCTTGTCTTCTTAGAGTGGAGTCATGTGAGTTCTTTATATATTTTGGAGATCAAACCCTTGTCTGAGGTATCATTGGCAAATATGTTTTCACACATGGTTGATTCTCTTTTCATTTTAATGCTGTTTTCTTTAGCTGTGCAGAAGCTTTTTATTTTGATGAGATCCAATTTGTTTATTCTTTCCTTTATGTTCCTTGCTTTAGGGTATGTATCAGTGTAAATATTGCTGTGTGGAATATCTGAGATTTTCCTGCCTATGTTCTCCTGAAGGATTTTTATGGTGTCATGACTTATATTTAAGTCTTTTATCCACCTTGAATTTATTTTTGTGTATGGTGTAAACTGGTGATCAAGTTTCATTTTTTTTTGCATGTACCTATCCAGATCTCCCAACATCATTTGTTGAAGAGGCTATTTTTGTTCCATTTTATGCTGCTTCTCCCCACTCTTGTCAAATATTAATTGACTACAGAGACTTGGGTTTATTTCTGGGCTCTCTATTCTGTTCCATTGGCCCATGTGTGTGTTCTTATGCCAGTACCAGGCTGTTTTGATTACAGTAGCCTTGTAATACAGTTTGGTATCAGGTATTGTGATCCCTCCTACTTTGCTCTTCTTTCTCAAAATTGCAGCAGCTATTTGGGGTTGTTTATGGTTCCACATAAATTTTTGAAGTGTTTGTTCTATATCTGTGAAATATGCCATTGGTACTTTAATAGGTATTGCACTGAATCTATAAATTGCTTTGGGTAGTATAAACAATTTGATGATGTTAATTCTTCCAATCCATGAACACAGTACATGTTTCCATTCGTTTTTGTCTTCCTTAATTTCTTTCTTCGGTGCCCTGTAGTTTTCTGAGTACATGTCTTTTACCTCCTTGATTAGGTTTATTCCAAGGTATTTTATTTTTCTTGTTGCTATATCAAAGTCTTGTGGCTATATCTAAATCTTGTTGGGATTTCCCCCCTGATTTCTGTTTCTGATATTTCATTGTTGCCTTTTGATTTCTGAAAAATGCCTTTGATTTCTGAATGTTGACTTTGTATCCCACTGTTTTTCCAAATTCATTTATTAGGTTGAGCATTTTTTTGCCGGAGTCTATAAGATTTTCTATGTACACACTATCATGTCATCTTCAAACAATGACACATTTGTTTCCTCTTTTCTGATTTGGATGACTTTTATTTCTTTTTCTTGTCTGATTGCTGTGGCTAGGATTTCCAATACTATGTTGAATAGAAGTGGTGAAAGTGGACAACCTTGTCTTGTTTCTGATCTTAGTGGGGAACTTTTTAGTTTTTGTCCATTGAATATGATATTGGCTGTAGGTCTCTCCTATATAGCCTTTATTAGGTTGAGGAAGGCTCCCTCTATTCCCACTTTGCTGAGTGTTTTTATCATAAATGGGTGCTGTACCTTATCAAATGCTTTTTCTGCATCTATTGATATGATCATGTGGTTTTTGTCTTTGCTTTTGTTTATGTGATGTATTATGTTTATTGATTTGCAAATATTGTACCATCCTTGCATCCCTGGGATGAATCCCACTTGGTCATGGTGTACATTATTAGACTCTTGTGCTTAGTTCTTGATTTTGAATATAAATTTATCTTAAAGTCTAAGTTTCCTATCTCTATAAATTTTATATTTATATACCCCTAAAGTATTTTATATTACTTATGGAAGTACTGTGTTACACTTAAAATTATAAACCTTTAATCTGCATTTTTCTTACTTTATTCTTTTCTTGTTCAATTTTTTGTTTTTAACAGAATTTTTAAGATTTGCAAATGCTTAGAATGTTAAGCATTTTGTTTTAGCCTCTTCTAACCTATTTATCTACTACTATACAGAAATCTACCTGTAATCCATTTTCTATTGCCTAAATTTCCTTATTTCGTGTCCCTACTTCATCAGCACATTGGTTTCCACTTTACTGATTCAGCATTTTAGCTTACTGAGGTAGGGGCACCATCTAGTGGTGACAGCATGTAGCTGCTGGTTCTACATTGTATTTTTTCCCTCTAACTTTGGTCTACCACTTTTAGGGAAATGAAAAAGAAATTATTTACATTAAAAACAAACAGAACAGAGCCCTGGCTGGTGTGGCTCAGTGGACTGTGCGCCAGTCTGGGAATCAAAGGGTCACTGGTTTGATTCCCAATCAGGGCACATGCCTGCGTTGTAGGCCAGGTCCCCAGTGGGAGGCATGCAAGAGGCAGCCACACGTTGATGTTTCTCTCCCTCTTTCTCCCTCCCTTCCCCAGTCTAAACATAAATAAAATCTAAAAAACAAAACAGAGAATTTTAAAATTAATAATAATATTTATTTATGGCCAGTGAAAGGAATGATACTTTACAATTTTTCACTAAGAGATCGCTAGTCAACTTGATAGACATTTGAATTTTAAGTCAGTTTCTTTTTTTTCCTTTAACTCTATAGAATTGGAAATCTCTAACTCACAATCACAGATCACCAGAAATGGAAGTAAGTGTTTGGTGAATCTGTCAGATAGTTTTTGAGGAGTGGATACAATGCAGGCACAAATCACAGAGAGATTGTTCACTGTAGGTGACTGGAAAGCCGATGAACATACTTAAATTAAATGCTTGAAGTCTGGCTCTTCTACTTGGTGGGGAGTGGTGAATGGATTACTGATTCACTCTGGTTAAAAAGTATTTCTGCATGGTGCCCTGCTGAATTTGGACTTAAAAAATCTATCCAATAAAAATCAACTCTTTCTCTGTCAAGAGGAAAAATTCTCAATGGGAAAGAGGTCAGCTGTTGGTGATGAGCAGTCTCCACTACAGTTTAGTCATCTCAGGAAGTATCAGTACCTTGTCCTCCACAATTAAAGTCCTGGCATTTCATCCAGAAGTGATGGATTCAGGTCAATCAAGACACTGAATACATCATTAAGACACCATCTGGGCAAACCACAGAAATATCTTTTAATTGCCAGCACCAATGTCATAAAGAAGGATTTTCAATCTCCTCACTTATTTTAAAAACTCCTGTGAGCACCTCTTTCCTCAAAAGTCAGCATATGCCAGTTAGGATAAAGCAGTCTTTTATTCACAGGCAATTTCTTTGCACAGCATGCAAAACTGCAAACTCAAGGGATACAATTTGTTAGTATTTCCAGTTTTCACTTTCATTCAATATTAAGTGGTTTATTTCTCCATTGCCAACTCTTCTCTGGAAATAAAGGAGAATATGAATGACATTAGGTGCAATCTCTTACTTGGGTAGTAATATCCTCATTTGCTGTGTACATGGTTGGTGCTCTGTTTTTGCAGTTGAAAAACAGCCATAAAATAGTTAAACAAACACAAATTCTTTTTGTCTATAGCATAGGTTTTTGGTGATACATAGAAAATAAAAGTTGCCCAACTTTTCTTCATCATATATGTGCTACATAGAAGCTAATATATAAGCTAATACTTGAGTGGTACTCTTGTAAACGGTTTCTTCCAACCATTAAGTAAAATGGCTGAATCACTCTAGCATGCAAAGAAAATATACAGGGTGCAGCAAAGGTGGGTTTACAATTGTGAGTACATGAAACAGTTTACTCTTGTACTATTTATTAATTATTGTATTATTTTCCATATGAACAACTGTAACCCTACTTAAAAAATGATTTATTATTGTTCAATTACAGTTGTCTCCATTTTCCCTCAACCATTCCCCGCCCCCAGACCCCAGCCAAACTTCCCTCCCTTGCTTCCATCCTCCCCCTTGGTTTTGTCCATGTGTCCTTTATAGTAGTTCCTAAAAACCCTTCCCCTCATTATCCCTTCCCATGTCCCCTCTGGTTACTGTTAAATTGTTCTTAATTTCTATGTCTCTAGCTGTATTTTGCTTGTTTTTTCTTTTGTTGATTCTGTTCCAGTTAAAGATGAGATCATATGGTATTTGTCCCTCACCTCCTGGCTTATTTCACTTAGCATAATGCTCTCCAGTTCCATCCATGCTGTTGCAAAGGGTAGGAGCTCTTCTTTCTCTCTGCTGTGTAGTATTTCCTTGTATAAATGTACTATAGCTTTTTGATCCATTCATTTACTGGTGGGTACTTGGGTTGCTTCCAGCACTTGGCTATTGTTAAGTGTGCTGCTATGAACATTGTGGTGCATAGGTTCTTTTGGATTGGTGTTTTAGGGTTCTTGGATACTATACCAGCAGTGGAATTGCCCAGTCAAAGTGCAGTTCCATTTTTAGTCTTCTGAGGAAATTCCATACTGTTTTTCCATAGTGGTTGCACCAGTCTGCAATTGTACCAACAATGCACTAGGGTTCCCTTTTCTCTGCAACCTCTCCAACATTTATTGTTTGTTGCTTTGTTTATGATGGTCATTCTGACTGGTGTGAAGTGGTATTTCACTGTGGTGTAAACGTACTTTTGCCTCACCCTGTATTAACTGTTCTACACTGTGTGCCACTGAGATTATATAACATTCAACAGGGTCACATGATAAGTTAATTTCACTTTTTCTGAGATATTTGTCATTAATTCTGAGGCTGATCTTTATAAATACATGAAAGTAGTGTGATCTCATCTGTCTTTGCCATGAGCAGGGTAGAGTTATGCCTCTCTAATTTAATTTAATGACAAAATTAATTAATTTCATACTAGAAAGCTTATTTTGTATTTTTTCTAGAAAAACTCACTGTACTCTGAAATAATGTAGAAGTTTCAATGACTTCATGCCACTTTTTGACCAACTTTCATAATAGAAAAGGCACTGGAGAGAAAAGATAACCAGTCCAATAAAATTTTATTTCCAGATATTCCCTGGGATACCTTTTATTTGCACCTTTCTTTTGTGGATGGGAGTAGGAGATTACCACAGCGGCAGAGACATTTATCTCAGTACATACAGATTCACATTTTATCTTTTCAGCTGGACCTGGTTTACTCTGTATGTTGTGATGCTGTTTTGAGTTGCTCCATCGTCATTATTTCATCATAAGACTTTACACTTTAAAGACTATCTCTGAATAAAGGATTAATTTTTGTGAATTGGGATAAAGCAGCATAATACTAGCAATAAAGTATAAATTTTTAAAATGTAAATAATAATATGCAAATGCCATGAAAATATCCTGTTAAATTGACCAATGTAGTTCTTTTTGTTCAACAATTAACACAACAGAATTTCTCAGAAAATGTGAATTATATGTGAACAAAGTGTTTCATGGCTTTTCACTTTGAAATCATAAAACTTCCTTGGGACCACTTGCTAGATAACTACAGACCATCATATTTAAATACCATATTAGAAAGTGTAAACAAACAAAATTTATCTGTTTTACAGTTCTGTTCTTTAACATCTTTTCTAAGAATAAATTGTCATAAAAGGTCCTCTGTAAAGACCATTTTCTGAATTGGTAGAAGGTTAGATTAAATTATTTTAAAGATCTTTTCTAAACTATGCTATTAATATACCCCGAATTTATAGAACTATCAACAATTAATTAGAACCCAATAATTCCCTTTGGGATTGGAGACAGAGTTAATGTGTAAAATCCTTAAGCATGAATAATTTCACTTATTCACTCAATAAATATTTACTGTTCATTTGTTATGTGCCAGGCACTATTCTAGGTATTGGAGATAAAGCAGTGAAAATATAAAGAAACCCCAGATGGACAATAAGCAAATAAAATTTTAAATATAAGATGATATAGAGCTAAGAAGAAAAATAAAACAGAAGAAAGGAATAGAGAGTATAGGGGGAGGGGGCAGATGGAGAGGAAGCGTGAAGGAGGCAGAAGGTGATCAGGGAATGCCACACTAATAAATATCAGGGTACACATTTGGATGAAGTGAGGGACCGAGTTGTGGAAATCTATAGGATAAGCATTAGAGGTAGAGGAAAGAATAAGAACAAAGCATGTGAGGCAGAAGTCATGTTTGGTTATGTTCCAGATACAGTGAGGAGGTCATAGTGGCTGAAGCAGAGTGAGCAAGCAGCAGGGTGGCATGAAATAAGCCCAGAGGTCAGGGGATGTGAGGGTGCATAGGGGTGAATTATAGAGAGTCTTGGCAAAGAGTTTGGCTTTTATTCTCAGTGAGATGGGAAACCACTGGAGGGTTTGAGCAGAGTGATCATATATTTTCAAAGGACAACTCTTGCTTTATGGAGACTAGATTGTAAGGCAATGAAGGTGTAAGAAGGGAGAACAATTAGGAGTAATTCAAGTGAGAAAGCAAGGTAACTTCGCCTGGGTGACCGGAGTGGAGGTAATTTAATATAGTGTTGTGGTTAAGAGGCAAAAATAACTTCTGAAACGGTCTAGGATGACAGTGACACCTCCTGGCTTAAAGTCTCAAAGTTTTATGAGATAAAAACCATCATAAAAGCAAAGAATGAAGTTTCTGTAGGCAGGAAAAAAACCAGCAGTTTTTTGTAACTCAACAGAACCCAACAACTTTATAGCCAACAAAAAGCACTCTAAGAATAACAAGCTCTTCCTCAGAGAAGACTGTCCTATTTAATGGGGGATCTAAGCCAGAGGCAAGGGCCATCTCACTGGAGTGTGGCCATGAATGCAAGGTGTGCGTGGGGCTCATCTTCGGAATTCCTCCGAAGACCATCTGGGAGCCAGGGCAGAGAATGGCTGACATGGCTGCTGTGTGCACGGCAGACCTTGGTGTCTCACTCATAATTCATACGCTGCCTGTGACTGATGAAATGAGGCTGTGCGTGAGAAATGGGATGAGAGACCACCTCACAAAAAAGGAGATTGTGATTATGTTATTTTAATTCTTACATGATTGTTTTCTGATTACACGCAAGCTATTTCTTAATACCAAGTCCACTTCTAACTTTAAGGTACTACAATACACATCTTTTTCTGGGAATGACTGGAAAATTCTTTCCAGTATTAAATGCCAAAGATCAATTGGGCACCAATATTTATGACATAGCAAAAGGTATACTTTATAAGCACAGACAGAATGAATATATTACTTTAAGTTTATATACAAATGACCTCTTAAGCACTGGGTACATATAAGAAGGGAAACAGATACAAATAATTAATTCAACTTTACTGCACCTTCCTTCCACTTAAAATAATCACTATAGCCTATGTTACCTTTTGCATAAAAATCTGAAAGCCTGATTATTAAGTTATATTAAGACAAGAGAGGATTCAGCTTACCGTGGTGATGTAGCGGGAGTGGAATTCTGGAGCATCTTTTAGAAACGTGAGGCCAGGGTGTGTATCCACCACATCCTGAGAAAGAACAAAACCAAAACTAAATTAAGCATACAAAAAATTCCCACTAATAATGCCTATAGAATTTTTTTCTTCGTGTAAAATACTCTGCCAGTTGAGCAAACTTGCTATTTTAAAATATTGAACAATGCACTTAAAATGTAATGAATACTTCATTAAATTTAAATTTTATCACAAGCATACTTATACGTGCTTTCAATATGCATATACATTGCAATAAAAATTAGAATTTTAATTTAGCTGTATTTGGTGATTTGTGAATCAAGTATTTTAGAGGTATGTACTGTAATTCTAACATATCAAGAATGTCAGAGAAATTCATCCCACAGATCTGGGTAGGGATTGCTAAATGAAATTTACACAGAAAACGTGATAGACACAAGCCAACAGGAATTTTTTCTTAACCTAGAAACACAAAAATTTTGGAAAAAAAAATAGCCATGTAGCAAAGTAACTTAAAATCTATGTTAGGTTGTGTGAGCCGCCTAATGTCCATCAAAATAACCATGTGAAGAAATCTGTTTTCTTGTTTTTTTAAAGATTTTATTTATTTATTTTTAGAGAGGGAAGGGAGGGAGAAAGAGAGAGAGAGAGAAACATCAATGTTCGGTTGCTGGGGGCTGTGGCCTGCAACCCAGGCATGTGCCCTGACTGGGAATTGAACCTGCGATACTTTGGTTCACAGCCCGCGCTCAATCCACTGAGCTACGCCAGCCAGGCCTAAGAAATCTGTTTTCAATTTAGAATTCTATTTAATTTATTTTAAAATTCAATAATCTTGTTCTCATGGATGACTAAGAGAATATTAAAACTCTGAAATAATGTTTTTATTTTCTAATTAGATTTTTAAAGTATTTTGAATGAGTCTAGAGAACCTATTAGAAATAATTACTATTAATTTAATAACTGAAGGCAAGAGCAATGCCAACATAGAAGTAATCTATTAATTCGTTAGTCATCAGCTGACAGACATCAGTTATGTCTTTTTCTTTGTCTCTTCAGACCCTTTAGCTATGCATACCTACCAACAGAGTCTAAAACCAATGGACCTTTACTATTTCTTTAATTTTTTATTTGGAAATAATTTTATTTTTTTATTTTTTATTTTAAAAATATTTTATTTATTTTTAGAGAGAGGAGAAGGGAGGGAGAAAAACATCAATGTGAGAGAGAAACATTGACTGGTTGCTCCTTGCACGCATGTGATCAGAGACCGAAACCTGAAACCCAGGTAGGGCATCAGCAACCTTTTGATTTTCAGGACAATACACAATCAACTGCACCATACCAGTCAGGCTATTTGGAAATAATTTTAGCTTATGGAAAAGTTGCAAAAATGTTACTGAGAAATTTCCTATGGTCTTCTCTTAGCTTCCTATAATGGTAACAACTTACAAGCCACAGTACAATTACCAAAACTAAGAAATGAACATTGATACAATACAGACCTTATTCAGATTTTACCTCCTTTTCCCTTGTCTTTTCTGTTCCAGGATACTACACTGCATTTAGTGTGTGGGTTTTTTTTTTTTTAAGATTTTATTTATTTATTTTTAGAGAGGGAAGGGAGGGAGAAAGAGAGAGAGAAATATCAATGTGCAGTTGCTGGGGGCCATGGCCTGCAACCCAGGCATGTGCCCTGACTATGAATTGAACCTGCAACACTTTGGTTTGCAGCCCACGCTAAATCCACTGAGCTACGCCAGCCAGGCATTTAGTTCTTTTTCTTTTAAACCTGTATTCAAGGCTTTTATTTTTATTTTTTAGTATATTTTATTATGTTATTATAGTTGTCCCACTTGTTCCCCACTTGCCCCCCTCCATCTGGTACCCCCCTTCCCTCTAGCAACACCCCCCCCTCCACCCACTGCTTAGTTCATGTCCATGGGCCATGCATGTAAGTTTTTTGGCTTCTCCGTTTCCTATACTATTAACAGCCCCCCGTCTATTTTGTACCTACCAATTATGCTTCTTAATCCCTGAACCTTCCCCTGCTTCTCACCCTTCCCCCTCCTAGCTGATAAGCTTCCAAATGATCAAATGATTCTGTTCCTAATTGCTTAGCTTTTTATTTTTTAATTGATTCAGTTGTTGATAGTTGTGAATTTGTTGCCTTTTTCATGTTCATAGTTTTGACCTTCTTTTTCTTAAGTAAGTCCCTTTAACATTTCCTGTAATAATGGCTTGGTGATGATGAATTCCTTTAGCTTTACCTTGTTTGGGAAGCACTTTATTTGTATTTCCATTCTAAATGATAGCTTTGCTGGATAGAGTAATCTTGGCCATAGGTCCCTACTTTTCATGACTGAATACTTCTTGCCAGTCCCTTCCTGCCTATAAAGTTTCTTTGGAGAAATCAGCTGTCTTAGGGGAACTCCTTTGAAGATAACCCTGCTTTTTTCTTGCTGCTTTTTAAGATTCTCTCTTTATCTTTTACCTTTGGCATTATGATGTGTTTGGGTGTGGTCCTCTTTGGGTCCAACTTGTTTGGAACTCCCCATGATTCCTGGACTTGTATGTCTATTTCCTTCACCAAATTAGGGAAGTTTTCTTTCATTATTTTTTCAAATAAGATATCAATTTCTTGCTCTTCCTCTTCTCCTTCTGGCATCCCTATGATTTGGAGGTTGGCATGTTTGGCGATGTCCTAGTCTTCTTACATTATTCACATTTTTTTGAATTCTTGTTTCTTCTTTCTGTTCTGGTTGAATATTTATTTCTTCCTTATGTTCCAAATAGTTGATCTGAATCCTGGCTTCCTTCCCTTCACTGTTAGTTCCCTGTAGATTTTTCTTTATTTTATTTAGTATAACCTTCATTTCTTCCTTTATATTGTTGCCATACTCATTGCGTTCTTTGAGCATCCTGATCACCAGTGTTTTGAACTCTACATCTGATAGGTTGGCTATCTCCATTTTGTTTAGTTCTTTTTCTGGGGTTTTGTTCTGTTCTTTCATTTGTACCATATTTCTTTGACTCCTCAATTTGGCAGCCTCCCTGTGTTTGTTTCTGTGTATTAGGTAGAGCTGCTTTGATTCTCTGTAAAAGGCACCTGAAAATTGTGTGGGTTGGAGCTTTAAGTAATTGCTAAGATTGGGCAACATGCTTCACTGCTTCATGGCTCTGTGTTGGGGGAGGGTTTAGGAGAGAAGATAATGATGTTGCAGGCTTCTGGGGGTTTGCCTGGCACTTGCCCCATTTCCTGTAACTTCCATATGCAACTGGTGCCCTTCCACCTCTTGCCCTGGTGTTGAATCCCAGAGTGGGTAGGTTTGCATGTTTTAAGACTGTTTGGGCCCTTCAAGAGAAATTTTCTGACAGTTTCTTCTGCTGCCCCAACCCTCACTGGTTTTTGCAGCCAGAAGTTATAGGGATTTATCTTTCCAGCGCTGGAACCCTGGGCTGTGTGGTCTGGCCTGGGGCTGGGATCACTCGCTCCCAAGGTATCCCTGCCAACTTTTATCTACTACACGTGAATGTGGGACTATCTGTGCCTGCTCCACCACCCTGCCTCACCCTGAAACATGTTTCCTTGCCTCTCTGCATTCTCTCTGCATCTGTGTCCCTCCTACCTGTATGGATGAATGTGGCTTCTTTAAATCTTTGGTTGTCAAACTTCCATACAGTTCAATTTTCTGACAGTTCTGGGTGTTATTTTGAGAATTTGTTTTAATTCCTTTTTGTGGTTGCATAAGGAGGTGAAGCCTGTCTACCTATGCCTCCATCTTGAGGTCCTGCATTTAGTTCTTGTGTCTTATTGGTCTCTTCTAACCTGTGACAGTTCCTCAGCCTTTCCTTGTATTTCATGATTTTGACACTTTTAATGAGTTCTGGTCAGTTATTCTGCAGAAGTCTCTCTATGTGGTTTTGTCTGGTCTCTAGTGATTAAAGTGACACTTTCAGCAGGTATAGCACAGATGTGGTACTGTGTCCTTTTCAGTCATACAAGGAGTATGTAATGTTGGTGTTTTATACCTTGTGGTGATAACTTTAAACACACTTGGTTGAAGTGATGTCTTCTGGGTTTGCCACCAGAAAGTGATTTTTTCCCCTTAATAATTGATAAATGTCATGGGGGAGATTCTTTGAGACTGCCAAATACTGTGACTCTAAAATTTTGCCCACTGATTTCAGTAGCTATTGGTGGAATGTGACTGTGACATTTATATTTTGTTATTTATCTAATAGTGATTATGTATTTCTCTCATTTCTTCTACATTTATTAACTGGAATTCTTTTGTAAGGAAGAACTGTTCCTTCTCTCCTATGTACTGATTTGTTCAATTTGTATCAATAAAGATTCATGGGTATTTATTTTATTTTATGAGTTATCCAATACTATCATTATTTATTTTGTTGCTCAAATTGATAATAGTTTTGCCCTTTGGGAACTCTCTCACTCTGGTTCCTGTGCCCTCTTGATATGTCCCTTCCTTTTGTGAGCACTTCCATATTTTCTGATACAAGATGGTTCAGGGTCACCTTATATTTTCTTTGCTCTAGTCCTGGAGTCTATCTTTCCTCCAAGCAGCCCTGGTTCCTTTTAATGTAGAATGGTATTTAGAAACCAAATATGGATGCCAGTGTGCTCATTACCACCAGGGTGCCATCGCTCCTTGGCTTTCTAGGCAAGCAGAGCTAGGAATATATGTATGTATACAATCTAAACATATATACATACTTATATTTTTCTATATCTCTATGCATTTTTATCTCTCTGTATTACATCTATGTAATCATACAGATAACTCTGATTCCAATTCAATACCACAAGATTCATTCTAGCCTTCCCCCTCTCCTTTGTAACTTACAGAGTTGCCAACCCATACCCCACTGAGAAACAAATTTAATAACCAGAATATAGTATTTATAGTATTTGTGTTCAGTTCCTTTTGTCTTTAGTCTTATAGTATCCAGTGAAAGTACTGTTATCCAAAATTACTTAGGTTAGCTCTTTCCTCTTCTCCCTTTATCCTCTGTAATGTGGTTATGCTATT